GAATTGGTGAGCTTCATGTAACTCCTCAATTCTCAAGCATCAATGCTGACGGCCCAATATTACCTTGTTAGTCAGTACGTTCTGTGTTACTGCGTTAGTGTTTGCCTAACTTTCACCATGTTTAGTGGGATCAAATAAATTATGACGAACCTGTCCGCCGTCGTGGCTTAATAACAATCCCCTTGTTGTAACCATGCTTTATCTTTTGCACTTTCTACGTACATACTGAATACACCATATTCCTCGCATGCATCTTGATCGCCTACCCGGGTGGGTAACTGCAGGTTGACCAATCTGTGACCTGGCGAAGGTGATTGAAGAAATCGACCAAAAGCCTCGTCCGTCTAGTGCACATCATATTGTTGGATAAGTTTCTGAATCGGATAGATCACTCTCCAAAAGGCGGCCCCCAACCGACAATTGTAATTTCAGACCAGATGATCGGAAGTCGCAAATTGTGAGATGACCCAGTCATTTTGTGCAAGCGTATCATTCATCGTCACTCGACTAACGATAAAGAACATAGGAAGAGAGACGGAGGGGATGCTAGCCAACCAGGCAGCCAGTGGCCAATCAGTGCGCTTCGTGCACTGACTCAGAGATACTGTCAGCTGTTTTTGTCCACAGAGTTGCGGCCGTTCTACATCAGTAACGATGGTTTCCAGTAGCTCGAGGATATGGGGCTCCTGGTTGCGCATCAGGACGATCAATGACTCTTCTGTGTTTATTTTAGTAGCCAACGCTCAACAAATGCCTTGGGATTGTCGAGGTAGCTCGGCTCCTCGATTCACCCGATTCTGTCGTCACAGATACCCTTTGCTGCGCGACCACTTGGGAATGTGCTCATCCATTCTGACGCCAAAACCACGATCAGCGCGCCCATCATAGCTGTCTCTACAGCTACAGGTAAATTTGTCTAAACTATGGGTTGTACGCCACCTCGTTATCAGTGATCTAATTGAACACATAAGCACGGGTCTTGTCGACATAAGAAAACGTAGTTCTGCTGCACTGTGTGCCCTTTTCAGTGAGGCGCTTATCCGTTCTGCGGTGACTTTCGTGATATGGTCACCTCAGAAAGATAACTAGATGAAGGCCGGCCTCTTTTCGACTATTGACACTCGGCTTCATTTGGTTATCACTGATTTTGTGAATTGTAATGGGTATCCATTGAACTGTAGTATGTCGAAAAGCAGATCTCTCTGATTCTAGTACTTCTGGGGTGCAAATCATGTGCGCTCGATAAACCAATGTCTGAACAAGGGGATGTCTGTGTTGTATTGGAGTAAAGTTCTTAGAAAGCAAGTACTGACTTGTCTTGGTTGACGTTCGCTAGACTGCCTTCTTGGTCGAACCGTCCGGTCGTCGTGTGATCAGTGCGTCTGGACACGGGAGGCTATTGTCCTGCACACCGTCACATGTTGCAGTAAGGTTCTGGTGCATACTGTTGAGTGTTTTCATCGCATGCGCAAAATACTCGTGCGAATCCACATAACACTTATATAAGGTTGCCGACCTGGTAATATTCTCAACCTTCTCTTCAATCATGCCCATGGACGTGTCTGCGAGCAATGGGCCTAGTAGGTATACTGACCGAATGATGGCGCTGCCAAATTGGATCTATGACGACGGAATCGCATGAATCGATGAGCCGAGCTACCTCGGCAATCCAAATGGGCATATTTATCGACCAGCACGGGTTACCAAGTCAAACACCGAGGAGTCATTTACCGTCCTGATGCACATTCAGAGGCCCCACATTCTCAGGTCACTGGAAGCCATTGTTATTGATCTAGAACAGTCTGAAGCTGCGCACAGGAATAGCTGCCTGAACTCTGAATCTACTGTCTTAGTACGAAGCGCACTGATTAGCCACTGGTTGGACGTCAATCAATCCCTTCTGTCATTCTTTCTGTACTCTCTATCGTCAGTTGCGTGGTTGTGGTTGATAAGCCTGCACGGAATAACTGAGTCATTTCACGACTTGCGTCTGTTGATTTTCTAGTTTGAAATCATAAAGGGAATTTCCTGTTTCGGATCACATTTTTCTGTTTCATTCAGTTGCTTTTTATGTGTCTGTGCATCATTGCGTTTCCCACGCACCCCCCATTACCTTGTAACGTAATGGCGAGCCGGAATAATGGCAAATGGATTCACTCCACCTGTGAATTGCACTTACCGAACGCGTTGGTGGAACGGTATCTCCTTTTATATGAATATGTAAACCAGTTTTAGAGTTCGTTTATCCTTCAGGATTCATGACCTTAGCTCCCCAGTTCACAAAGCCCAGCGTACGAAAAAACACAGTTTGTTCACTCAAAGAGTTTTTTGAGTCAGTGCTGCTTAACCACTTCTCACAATTCCAGCGGGTGCGATTAAGTGTTCTGAGCAGTGTAGGCCATTGATATAAATCTTTTTCATTTTACTCAATGATGGACTCTCGTTGAATTAAAAGCTAGACCGATGGTCATCCATACCACGTTTTGCATCTCGCAAGCACACCTCTGTTCGTGCACAGAATCATGAAACAGTTAACAAAACACCTCGTTTAGATAAGGTATGGTAAGCTGAGGACCACCAGAGGGTCGAACAGGTCATGTATGTGTCATCATGACCGTACATGACAACTAATTGAAATCAGTTACTATATAAATAAATAAAAGGTATATTCCCCAACAATACGAGGCGAAGTCCAAATATATATATGGTTGGCGGCATCCGGTTTCGGATTTGCCTGTCACTGTGGCAAGCCACAGGACGCCTGCGCCTACAGAGGGACAATGGGTGGCTTGCGCTGCACCACCCACAGCTCCAACCACACACCCCATATCCAGTGTAAACCCGAAGGAATAAGACCGGGAGGCATGTGGATGGGAGCCACGTTTCATCAACGGAGCCGGCCCACACTCCTTCACAGGCAAACACAAGCACGCTGTATTTGGGGAATCAATCGCACACAAGGCGGTGGCTGGACCGTAGTCCGCTCCACACTGACTGCATGGAACCACTCTTTGAGTCCAGCACGGCCACAAGGACCGTGCACCCTGTCCCCTCCAGCAACGACCAACTGTCTCGTGGAGCCAGTATGGACGAGGTAGAGGGTAATAGACAGGTAGGCACCTTGTCAACATGCACACCAAGCGCAGCCTCACCGGGGATATCAAGCAACAGCCAATCATTTGAGAGAAAGATAACAAAGAAAATAAATCGAGTAATGCATAAGGAAAGGGTGACATATATCTTAAAGTAATGAGCATCTGAAGTAAATTGTTTACAGAAGAATGCGAGATAAGTTCACGAGGTCAGAAAGTATACTTTACGGAAATGCCACGAACACAAAAATGTTTTCGAAAATGACTAGAATTGGCTTAAGTGACGTGTGCAAGTTTATAGAAGAGAGTACAGGTGGACATTTATAAGAGAAAGCAAAGCATTGGGACAAAATTGAAAACCCACCACCTGAAATAAACAGACTTAGCACGCAAGCAAACAGTGACATAAATCTTAAAGTAGTGAGCATATGAACTAACTTTACAAAAGAATACGAGGTAAGTTCACGAGGTCAGGTTTATTTTACGGAAATGCTACAAACACGAAAATGTTATCGAAATAACTACAAGTGGCTTAAACGACGTGTGCAAGTGTATAGAAGAGAGTATAACTAGGCATTTATATGGGAAAAAAAGCATTAGGGCACAATTGAAAACCCACCACCTGAAATAAATAGACTTAGCATGCAAGCACGCGGTTAGTAAATCGAATGCAGCGTACCTACAAACGCTGCGCCGGTTCTGCCTACGTTCTCTGCAGAACCCGTCGGCGCTTCGGTAGTAGTCCCGAGTGGCCTCGCTCATGACTCACTAGGCCTGCCTGACTCAGGCACTCGCGACCGCATGTGTTACAGCACCATGCACTCGATGTCGATGGAATACAATCCATCGGTGCTTGTCGCTTCCGCACTTGCCGCTTCTTCTCTGCATGCATGAGGGCTTTCTCCCGCACTTCAGCAACTGCCTTCGTGATGAGATCGCGCCATACGCGCCGATCAACCGCTTTCGATTCCCATGACATGCAATCAAGATTAGAACGTGTGAGGCTCACTTTGATCATGTCCTGGTAACGTAACCTTGGTTTCCCCACATGCAGCTTCCCAATACTCAGCTGACCGTATAAGAGTTGTTTCGGTATCCGAGTCGAATCCATACGCCACACATGACCGAGCCATTTCAGGTGTCTCAGTAAAAGTATGCAGTCCACTGCATACATCCCACTTCGGCGCAACGCTTCCTTGTCTGCAACTCTGGCACCCCAACTGATGCACAAAATTCGTCGCAGACACTGCTGATGGAACCGCTCGAGATATCACACATCCCGACGGTACATCGTCCACGTTTCACTGCCGTATAGCAGAACGGACAGCACTATGGATTTGTACACCATCAGCTTTGTGCCAATGCTAAGCTGATGGTTGTTCCACAAATATATATATATATATATATATATATATATATATATAATGATTGTTGCACAATATGTTTATCACTTTAACTAAGTAACACCCAATATAAAAACAAAATGTTCAGCAGTGAAGCAACGGAGTAGTTTACACAGCTAAAATGGAATTTCTAAACAGTATCGACTTGTATGTACCAATAAAGTAAAAACAGCTTATGATGAACCTTTCGTTGAGGTTTTGAGGTCTGACACCCCTGTTTAACAACAACTGCTTCTCTTGGCTGAACTGTCTGTGCGGTTCCCACTTTGATCACAACACACCATTTCTCCTTAAGCAACACACTTTTATCCCATTTAAGTTATCAGGTTTAGACCGTTAAATGACCAAAATTACTGTGTCTTCTGTTTGTAGGCCGCATTCTTGACATACCTTTGTGCCACAAATCAGGTCCGTGCCCCAAACACCCTGCTATCATTGAATAACTTTGATGAAAATATGCTTACGATGTAATCCAAACAATCCTTTTCTCACTGTTGTGTTCTCAGGTTGTGACTACTGTCTTGGCGCCACTGCTCCTGTCGGCACTCCCTGCTCGCTCTCAGCAACGTTTGCATGTTTGCCGCTGCATCAAAGAGGCACTGCGTTCATTCCCATCTGTGAGCAGTTTCTTGCTCAGTCCCTTGTGCTTTCATTTCAACGGATAACATGGCCCCATAACTGAGCTCACCTACTCACCCCACGCCAATCTGCCGCTTCGTCTGATCCATTCATCGCCAACCTGTTACAGCACCGCACCTTGCTCAGAGGGTTTGTCAGTCCTATTCTTTGCACCTGTCTCAAGTATACTAAGTATACTTGCAGTGAATACACGTCAATGAGCAGCTACTCATCAGCGTCGTTTGGTCCAAATCATTATCTCGGGCGTCAACACTCAAGCACCATGAAGAATAGCTATCTGAACGAGACTAGAGGTTTAGCAGATTACATGCGTGGCGATTTCAATCCTATAGTGGAATCGCTTAATTTTATGCCCAACGTATCGTCCTACGATAGCTTACCCGGGGATGGTTTCGGCACTTGGTCCACAGACGATATGAAGTCTAGAATGGATTTTCGCGGCCAAAATCTTGGCACCTCTGACGCGTGTGATCGTCTTCCATGTTCAGCAAACGATTATAGGAACTTGCCTGCCTCCATATCTACACAACAATATCGAATACACGGTAGACGCCCCGGTTCCGTTACCCGTAATCAGGAAGTTGGACATTTTGACATGTTAATTTCACACCGTGAACAACTCACCCCATGTGTGCCAAACTTTGAGTCTAATCCTTATGCTATTGATGATGAACGAACTTATGACCCTAAACTAATATTCGGTGATGCATGTAATACCTCAATGACAACTGGAGTGACTTTGACGAGGGTAAACACCGAGCTCACTTCAGTCGGACCGTCGTTACACTCCCGTGCGATGCCCCAGGGTATGTCTAATACTACCCAATCCATAACTGCGTCCAGCACTGAGGGTCTACACTCCGGTGCAATAATGATGACACCAGATTCATCCACTATTGGGTTCTTGACCAACAAACTGCTTGCGTCTTCGGATGATGGCGAAATTTCTCCGACACCAACAAGCGGCAGTGGGCACCCTCGCGCAGCCAACCGCATGCGCAAAGCTGCCCCAACTCTGGCAACCGGCAGAAGGAATTTGAAAAGTGAACCGGTAAGTTTAGGACCCCATGAGTACGTTTCTTCCTTACCGAATTTAAATGACAGATGGCTCAATAATAAACTCATTGGTAGACGTCAAAGTAGAATATTCTTCGAGCATGTACTAACTTTCAGCACCTTAGTCATGGTGTTGAAATCCATAAATACTTCGTGCTCACAAAAGTCTAGTCAACTAAGTGCTATTCCCGGAGACAGAAGATACGCTTTGGCATCGTAGACTAATTGGTGACTGAAGTTTAGGGAGGCCGTGGAGCTACCCTTTCCTTTGTGTGGCAGTGACGCACAAGACATTGGAGAGCGAAATCGTACTACGTCACATGAAAAGCATCACACCACAATGAGCACGACTGCCGTAGGTGCCTCGGCCATTCGATCTGGTTAGCATCCATACTACTTCCGATGCTGTCTGGGACGCATAACCGCAAATGCACTCATGATTCCTATATACTTGGAATTTTTTCCTGGTTATATGGAATTCACTCGCTATCATCGTTTCCAAGCTTGCTCAAAATCTAGATCACGGATTCTGGATACCAACAATAACCGATCTTAGCGTAGAATCACACAGCAAGAAGACCCACTTTGGTGACAATGTCAGTCGCTGATGACACCTCATTACATGTGAATCGCGTAATGCATATGGACAGCATTAGAGGGAACCCGATGCTGTGACTCATCTGGCCTCTCTGAGGACCATTTCAATTTCTCCCCTGGATGTGATTCGTAGTCCATCTGCTGTCAGTTCCCCTTATAATGACTGTTTTTGGTTTCAATGATCCACGAATGATATTGGCAAATTTGTCCTTACCGATTTGCGCCTGTCGTGTGGATGCGTTGTTCTGTAACGGACACATTTCGTGTGTCGGTTCAAGTTCATGACAGGCTGCATGCGGAGCGCTTCACAGCCGGAACTGCAGACATCTTCATACTATTCTACGGAGCGCCTGTTAGCTGCCATAGATGTGGCCTTGATGGTACGTGGTCAAGGGGGCTTTATTTATTTGTGATGCATCATCTCGCGTCTTGCCACTGCCTGTGTTTTGTGCTTTTCGTGGAAGTATTCGTATTAGCTTTCTCACCAGACGAGCAGGTTGGGAGAATCAGTTTATCCACCTGATCGTTTCTGTCCACTTGTTGAGTTTTTTACCAGGTCTACTGCCCAACTGAAGTTGGGCGGTCATCACCGCGAACTAGTGAACTATTTTCATCCAGGAGAAATGAGAAAAGCGGAAACGAACCGTCTTACCGTGGCGACTGTGGCCAAATTGCCTACGCATTTTCGATCGTTATTCGGGATGCGGTGCCTATTGCATTTGAGAGTCGATAACGATTCCCCTAAAAGTAAGAACCGGTAACAGCACACTTTGGGTCATGTCGTTCCAAAAAGCGGTGTACGCAACTCTTTTAACATATGACAAGTGGGCACTATTTTGTGCCAATCAGTGGCGTTCATTTTCCCGCTCCCCTGAAACATCACAGACAAGAATCTGTTGATGTGTATCCCGGCCGTTTGCGTCTACTCTAAGCAGCGGATGTTGCGCTCCTTTCCTCTTCCGAATTGGTTTGTTGCATTCCCGTGCCAAACCTTGGAGCGCAGCACGCGTCCAAGGCCAGTAGCGAACTGCATACGTCGATCGATAGCCCGTAGGGTCAATTGACGCAGTCAGCCAATCAACCGTTCGTAAGCTTCAGCCAAAATCCGAGTGAGTCACCTACCTTGCCAATCCCGGGACCAGACGCTCACCTGCCTCCACCCGTAGTGGACGTGGTGTGAGGGTACATGTGGCTTCTATCCCGGCATTTGCGTTCACCCCCTGGGTGAATATCGATGACCGGTGGTAGCTATAGCAAGTGCCACGTGCCATTTGCTAGTCAGCAGGCCGACGAATTGGGTTGGAAATTGTGGAATGTTTTGACTTAAGGCTCCACGAACACGTTTTGGCAACGCGTGTCACTGGATTATGAAATCCAGTCGGGAGATTACCGGCAGAATAAGCTGGGATGCCAACTGCTGAACATCAATGCCTTGAATCTGCTGATAGGGCACCTCTGTCTAAACCAATGATCGCACATTTTAGATGCTTATTATCAGATGTTGAGGGTCCCCTCATTCCGTCATCTAGCGTGTTTCATCAGGCACGAAGCACCCAAGCACGAGTTTGGTTCACTGAAGCCACCCTCTCGTTTCACCTGTCCACTCTCGGGAATCCGGGCCGTGCCATGCTCCCACATAAAGCCGTGTTACAGCGAGCACCGTATACGACGGCAAATCTGTGCTACCTGTCATCATGTTTGATCGATTAATTCAGCTTTTCGCATGCGTTGGCTGGTCCATTCGCCGACATTGCCCGTTGGGAGAGCTGACACTATACTAGGCAATCCGAGTGGTTTTATCGGAATGGGGCATACTTAATGCTGCGGTTTGTTTGGATGATGATGGGATCCTTCGCAAAGCATTGACACATCTATCCGAACTGCTACGAAGGTAAGACATCATCTGAACCGACTTAGACAAATCGACGACATTTGCGATGCTATGACGGGCGCTCTCAGTGCCTGTGCATCAGCTTCACATTGGTGGTAGCAAATGTCGACCGTGTTACTGCGGGACAGATATCCCGAATGTTAGTCATAGGCCGGCTTCTGACCGCGATAAAGTACACGATAAAGCTGAATAGAAATGGGAAAATGGGACAACCGTAACCAACACGTTTGTTTGAATATCCGACCATTTGCTGTGTTCATACATCTCTGTGCTGATTCATCGACGAGTTAAATACACTCTTGAAACTGATGAACATAGCTGTAATCAGTCTTCAGCAGATGTTAGGTAGTGCCACACCTGTCACGAGCGAACTATAGCTGTGTTCCTCTGCTTCAAGAATGCGTTCAATTCTATCGACGGCCGCGTTCGCCTTTGCTCGGAACGTTCTTCCCTGAAATGTGAGAGCTTTTATGTGACGCGCTCAGACGCAAGTTGCGTCACAAGTGGTGTTCGTCAGTATTTTTCCAATCCTACTCACTTTTATCGTGGGCGCCATCGTACAGTGTTCTTTTATGGAGTTTCACGATGCTGGTGTTGGCTGCTACCTTACGCTAAATCCGTTAAGTCGAATTACGCGGATGAGGTCACCCTGTTATTTGACAATAGCGGAGCAACACGATTAGCCGTGGTTAGACCCACCCGAGTGGTACCATCATTTGACATGCGCTTTCGGCCCCCAAAACGCTGTTACAAAATTGCTGGTCACCTGTTATCTCATTCTTTAATGAGTATAAAAGGGAAATGAGCGATTAATTCACGTATCCTAGTAGCTGCATTGGCAATCGAGAGTGCGTTTTCTTAGGCCGAAAACTGGAACTTTATGAATCCGTCACAAATTCGGCACCTGGAATGGTTTCCCTTAGTAGTGTGTGCGGACCACAATGAGAGCGATTTTCGCCTACAGCCTGAAAATCCCAGGCGCCATTGTCACCCGCGGAGCATTGCACTTGTCTGGGGGCACCTGCGTGTTTGCAAGGAGGGCAGTGTACACTTGAGTACTTGGCGATGGTGATGATTAGTCCAGCACAGCAACCAAGGCTGAACAGGTTGCATTGACTTGGGCACCTACTACATATACGTGCCCAGTGCTTACCGAGCACGGCTTGTTTTATGTTTGATTTGGGATCGAATAAGACTCGGGGTATAATCGTGGGCCTGACAACGGGAGTTGGAATCACCTATCCATCAATATGGTACGACTGATTCTTCTCGCATTCCAGGCACCAATACCATGTCTTCCGTCGTCTCCCAAATCGACTACCTATTCCAACTATATGCATCATTGATGAGGTTATTTATGGAGTAGAACTGAAATTTTTGAGGAAGTCGTCTCACCGGTAACGTTGCAAAATACTCAACTGTTTGTGATCATATGTTGTAGACA